TGCGGACAAAACATATGAAAACATATGGGATTATTTCAGTGGAGACCATGTCTCATATATCGGTAATCTCGTGCGCCAGGGCTAGATTTTTTAATTTATTTAACACACATTTCAACAGCATTATCAAGTACATATAGTATTGGAAAAACATAAACGGTTTGACTCAATACTGGTGAGTTCATCTCTAACCAGATACAACATTTCTATATGCTAAAAAATTAAGCTGCACTAATAATTAATCTAAAACAATAAGTCGGTATTTCATTAAAACAGTTAAACCAATTAGTACATCAAAGCTGATCTATCGTCATGCCGTACATTCCGTAACTCGCCAAAACCGGTCGGTCACCATTACGCCTCGCACGGGCCATTCCCATTGTGTCATTATATGATTGACTATAATTTGTTAATAATATAATCAATATAATAATTTCATTAATAATATTATATAAATATCATTAATAGTATAACGAATTAATAACTGACCAATTAATTATGCTATAACTTTGCTAGAATATATTTTTTGTGTGATAAGAGAGCGTTGCGGCGTTGAAGAAGATATAGTGATAAAGATAGAGAAAGGGATGCTTAGATGGTTCGGACATGTAGAGAGAGTGAATGAAAGAAGAGTGACGAAACAGATTTATAAGGCGAGTGTGAGAGGGCAAGTTGGTATGGGCCGACCAAGGAGAACTTATCATGACCAAATTGAGGCCATCCTAAAGAAGGGCCAGGTCAAGAGTACCCTTAACCGACGAGCGTGTATGAAAGCATTGATGCGTGTTGATGAGGCGAAAGATGTGTGTCAGGACCGTAGCAAGTGGAAGACTGTTGTCTCCGCCTACCCCGATGGGGAAAAGGTGTGAAGTATATGTATGTATGTATGTATATTTTTTAAGCACAAATGTAATGTTTTATCAGATATGTTTTTTTCATTTCTGTAGGTAAGTTATTTATGAGGTAAGGTATTATATACTTAGAAGTACTTTTACCGTACACATTTACATAATTTGGTATTGTTAGTAAATTTTTGTATGCTTGTCTAGTATTTTTGCTGTGTGGTTGATGGATTTCTGTTTGAAAGTCTCGGCGTTCTTTGCGGTTTCGGCTTTCACGAGACCCTCGACATGCTGGATGGAACGCACAAGAGACACCCTCGACTGCGATCGATCCAATATCACAATATCCGGCTTATTTGCAAGAATAGTCCTGTCTGTGATAATGGATCGATCCCTATAGGTTTTCGTGCGGTCATCTTCGAGTATAGGCTCCGGTGAATACTTGTAATATGGTATCCTCTGTTGCACGAGTCCGTACTTCAGAGCGAGCTCTTGGTATAATATTTTGGCTGCCTGGTTGTGTCTGTGCAAGTACTCAGTGTTAGCAATAGCGGAATAACCGGAAACAATATGTCTAAGTGACTCTCCGGGACGGCCACATGCCCGACAAATGTCTACTGTACCGTCCTATAGGATATATTTCCGATAGTTCCGCGTCTTTATATTGCACAGACAAAACCTACGGTTTCCCCAAAAAAGTACCCGAAACGGTTTACTGTCCACAAAAGACTGACTCGCGGTCAGGGGTTCTAAGCAACATCGGGTCAAGCCATTCCTCTTTGGCCAACGATAAGGGATGTAGTCCTTTCTCATATGTGATAACGTCCTCACGAAGTACGTCTTCCCTCATCGTCAAAAAGTAGTTTCGGAGATTGCATATCTCGCGGTTGTGCATAGTTTTGACACTTAATAGGTCTGCCTCTACTGACGATCTCGGTTCGGTGAGAGATCATCGTAGTGCGGACTCGTCTATCCAGGGGGCCTACCATAACCTTTCAAAAAACAATATTATTTCAATGTAAGCTTATAGTACGTTATTATACATATAATAACTCATATTCCCATCCCAATATAGACAAACCTATCGACCGAGTAATGTATTATTGCTAAAGTGCCTGAAAGAACGAATGATTTTCCTAATATAGTCTATTCCTTTCTAAAAATAGGAAAAAAATAACGCTATATGAGCTGTATAATGCTATCTCTTTCTTTTTTGATATTCCGAATCATCCTATCGAAGTATAATGTTAAAGTACTTCAAATTATTTACATTCAGAGAATTTTACCTGCCAAAAAAAGAAAAGTATGTAATAATGAAATCGATTAAAATTACGTTGTTTTCAATTATTTTTCCGCATTTTCATGAAGAAAAACAAATGACACAAGCTGGGTCTTGATTTTCACGTTGTGAATTCAGAATTATAGCTGTTGTCGCCACGGAGCATACAGATACCGCTGTCACAATTTTACGAAATAAACACCGCGTATTTTTATTTAACGAGTAATGATTTCCTATGTACTATTAAATAAAACAATAAACAGAATATTGAAGAGATTTATGTAAATAAATAAGATCAATTTAACTTATAATCATTACAAATCAATATTTAGACAGTTAATTCTAAAATAATATTGTTTCCACTGCGCCCGATAACTATTTTAAGATTGTTAAATTTGACATAAGAACAATATTACTTTAAAGTCAAAGTCGCGTCATAAGTACGAACTGAGTGAATGAATAGTCACAAAGCTGACAATCAAACATTATAGTTCTAACATTATAATAAGTTTACTTTAAGCGCGTCATGGTACAAAAAGTCAATGTAACGTTAAAGTAATATTGTTTTAAGTAAATTAAGTTTTTATGAATGTTCTGTGACGCTAGTGAAGAATGTCAATTTTTTTAAACTTCTCCGTGAAAGACACTCTTGGTCCCTGATTGTAAATTTTCCTAACTGCACGTTTTATCTAATTTAGACTAAATCTTAAATATCAGCGGCGTTACCTCAAAGCAAAAAATATATAATCTTGTGTATATTTAGTCTTTACCAAACATCCGTGATTCTCGATGGTATTTCCACAATACGGTAAATACGTAGATACCTCTACGTCAACGTGTTGTCTGTTAATGGCAAATTTTAATATCAACCGGAAGCTTAATAAGTACACGAACATAATTGTTAATCACTATTGTAATTACGGAGATAATTATATTGTTAAATAGTTATTAAAAAATCGGAATAAACAAACGAATTTCAACTAGATTTAAAACTTCATTTGCACATTGCAGTTGAAGTCCGCCATCTTAAGTGTTAAACACACCGGGCGCGGGACTCGGCCTGCGCCGTGTTGTCGTCTTTAAAAATACACGGAATTACACCCGCCGTACCTCCGACCCGACACGCGTCCGACCCACACCCGCTTTCAGTGTGTGTCTCTTTGATTACGTATCGGGAAAATTCGGAAATCACGAATATTTCCGAGTGCTGTTGTAGCGTCTATAGATTATTGTATTATTGATTGCTGTATTCATGAATACATAACTTAAAATTTAAAAAACAGTGTAACTCCAAAAACTCATTATCTTTGCAATACTTCGTCGAGATCAGATTAATGAGCCCAGACAGAGTTGAGGAGTCTGTATACAGTCTCCTCAACAGTTCCTGTCCTTATCCCACGCTAGGTGGGGTCGACACAACATGTATTCTTCTTCTTGTATTCTTAATAAAAAAATACTATTCTACTTAAAATAAATTAAGTATTTATGAATGTTCTGTGACGCTAGTGAAGAATGTCAATTTTTTAAACTTCTCCGTCAAAGACACTCTTGGGCCCTGTATCTGTACCTGTATCTGTATGTCTGTATACAGACTCCTCAACAGACAGCCCTGGTTGCAGAGTGAAAATTTTGTAAATGATGTAGAACAATGTAGGTACTGTTACGTCGTTAGATTACTTTTAAATTTCATTGAAGAACGTACAAAAATGCTATTTAGCCATACAAAAACTTAATAGTGACGTCATTCCTCTACAACTTATCAAAATATTGAACCTCTAGCGACTTACAGTATCGAAATTTCATAGGATAAGTAAGCACTATTTATTACACTGGCACAAACGCAAACGTCGGCGATTTATAGGGTAACCTATCACAAACTCGAAAATTTTTTTGTCCGAAAACCGAATTATACCCAAAACAGTTGTTCTTTCAGGTTGTGTATATTTATATATAATAAGTTGAATATTTATGCAAAGACACGATTAAGTTTGATTAGGTTACGTTAAGTTAGGTTTAAAAGAAGAAAACATTTTCCTCTCGCAATTACTTTCGAGGTTATGAAATTTCGACCAAACGTTATTTCTGGAAAATGTCATTTCGGACTCCGGATAGGTAACCATTTATAGACGTCAATATGATTACTTGTTACATACATTTAATAGCCTATAGAAGAAAATCTGCCACAGCGCATCAATCGGCAAAAGCACGATGCTCGTACGATTGTGTTATTAACCCAAAAAACTAACATATCCTTAAGAATTTAAGCGATCTCACACGGTTTATGAACTTATGAACGGTTTAGGAAATCTTTTCCTCAAACTCGCTGCTCGCACGGTCGACGACCATCGACAGCCACTTACTGAACCCGTCCTTTCTTATTAATTTCAATTACAAAATTGTAATTTCAATTCGCTTTAAATGGGAAAGAGTAAGTTATAATTGTTGATGGTAGAAATTTAATTAGAATTTAATCCTATTTAGCCTTAAACCATGCAAATTAACGATAAAAAACTAAACATACATGTCATAATTTAATTAGATTAGATAAATAATTGTAAGGAGAATGTACGCATCAATGAATAATTATATAGTCTTTATATTTCATGATACAGAATGACGATCTTCGCGAAAAAAATGGATCGAGCCGGTCCGCACCGGCTTGATCCATTTTTTTTGCTACGTATTGATCCATGCACCGTAACGGACGCGTCTGCATTACCACAGACGAGCTTCTTTTCTTTGTATGTGTCCGAGTTCGTGCGTGCTCAAATCTCGCACCTTTACTGTGATTGGCGATGCGGTTTTCAAAGGTAGTGATTGTGGCTAATCATCTATTTTTCAAATACGAGACTTAATAATGGTAGCGGTAGATTAAAACTCACCTGGTTATGTGTGTTATAATAATTGTTGTTGTTTGAAGGGTTCGACACTACAAATGTTGGTCGTTCGCCTGTGAAATATTCCACTGGATCTGGGCGACTGCAGACAAATAGAATAGACATTGTTAATATAGATATATTTTCTACATACTATCAATACTAACGTGAATTGTCTATACCTATGCGAACCATTACACGAATGCCATTGTAGACGGAGGACAAAATGAAGTTTTTCTACTCTGGTGAGTTTTGTTAGTTTGCGCTAATGCTAAACTTACTAGAAATAATAGCAGCGAAAAGAAATTTCGAATCTAAGCGTGGTGTAAGCAACACACGGCAGCTTTTAGCAGCACGTACGCAGTGATTCAGTTGCGATGCAGTCGTTAACGCGGGACTTAAACAGCGATACAATCGCGATGCAAACGCGATACAAATGCGATGCAAACGCGATACACGTTTTGAATTAACTAATTTATTTATTTCACTTTAGAATTTGCAATTAACAAAACAATGTACTTGTACCTATATAGATTTTGATATTAGTCGCACGTTTATATCGATGCAATCACCTAAAAACCGCAAGTGTAGGGATGCAATCGCACGTTTGCGTTGCTACTATAAGTCGCCATGTGTATAACCGCTCTTAATCGTGTATTTTGGTTTTTTCAAATAAACCAACGTTTCGAGCCCTTTACAGACCCCATGGTCACGGCTAACTTAGATGGTAAAGTTGTCAACCGGTTATATTTAATATTAATACAAACCTTTGGAATGCGTTACGCATACCCCGCCGCGGGTGATAACATGGCGGGCTTGTAAGTGGGACTCTATTCTGTGGACTCACTGCGAGATATAAGCTCGTCCGTTAGATCCTTGAAGGTAGATGCATTAAAAACCTATGTATGCACTCTCTCCTATTCTAATTTTAATTAATTATTCTTGACGCACACTTCCCCAAAGTGTGCATTAAGAATAATGCAACAAAACAAACCAGTTTGAAAAAACAAATATCAGCGATTTAGATTGCAAAATGTAATGTTGTTCTTGTTGTCGTTGGTGTTATTAGTTCGGTGATATTAAAAGATTTTCTATTTATGGATCTGATATAATTTTTTTGTGGTTTTTAATCCGACATATTGACAGACGGAACTTGTTATGGCTCTATGCATAAGGTAAAGTTTTAAAAATATGAACGCAAGACGGTCAAAGAATAATTCTAGCCACCACGTGTCCCTAACGTGATCATACGTCCCGCTTTGAGTGGGACAGTCCCGCTTTTAAGCTTCTTATCCCGCTGTCCCCAAAATACTTAAAAATGTCCCGCTTTCACAAAACAGGACACACGTGACAATAAATTTTAAAAAATGGTGCAAAAGCGTAAAATATATAAAGCCAGCCCACCAGACTACATAAGTTCTTTTTTAAAGTTTTTGATCATTAAACATTTCGTAACTATAGGTGTACAAGTATCTGATGGCATTTAGACAAATTTAAATTTGTAGTGGGCAACATCAATGTAGTAGGAAAAAATGTACTAGAAACTTCATATATTTTAATTGACCAGAATTGATCTATCCTTGTATACATGTTTTAAGATCTGTATGAATTTGTGTGTGAGAAAGGTAAGTAATTTCTGACAAATTTTAAAATTAAACAGATATTAATTGACAGACATTGTGGGTGTTAGATTTATTTACGTTTGCAGTTTGAAATAACTCCCATTTACGCCATTTACATTTTTTACACTGTAGTCTTTCCGACCAACACCAGTACCAACAAAAATTACATACCATATAGGTACATTGATTGGGCTACGTTAAAATTTCAAAGATCCTTAATTACTCCTATTAATCGGCAGCATTTGAGACCCGCTTCTAAATCGCGAATTTTGACTTAGATGCACCTAATTCGCCGCTGATTTTGCGATAAGCATTATTACAATGTTTTTTGCCAAATTGAAGCGGATTCTCAGTAATTATTGCTACAAAATCGTTATTTTCATGTGAAAAAAGTTCAGCAGTCAGCCATTAGACACATAATATTTTGAATTGACATGTGACAAGTTAACGTTGCCAGATAAAGTCGTTCAATTTTTCTAATATTTAATGCCATGAGATTCTAGTACACCTATATCAATTAAATTTATTCCCACTAGTTCTATGCATGGAATTTTTGGAACTGAGTACATGGATCTACTGGGAATAAACCATAAAAATGGTTTTATTTTTAAAACAATACTAAATTCACAGGTGTCCCGCTCTGAGGGGAAAAAAATAATGGACACGTTAGGTATAGTTGTAGTTCTCACGCAGGCCCAAATCGAATTGAAAATTTCACACACGTCATAGAATTGCTTTGCAGATGTGTGCAGGTTTACTCACGATATTTTCCTTCAGCGAAAAGCTCATGGTAAAGTACGATGATCGGTGCAATATGGAGGCAACTGGCACGTCCATAAGCTACACACGGCGCAATTTAAAACACAAGAGACCTAGATTCTGAAGCTATTTCTTAATTTTCATATAAAGCAGCGAACAGTAATATATTTAATAATAAAAAAACTACTTTTCCTATCATTTAACTGTCTAACAATCGAAGAAACTTTAGAATTGCATTTCATATGTAAGTATATCGTTTCGCTTCAGTAGGGAAGCTCTTCCGCGTAGTTGTGATCTCTTTGAACTCACACATCTGGCAACACTGAGCACGTTAAATATAAACTGCAATCTGTCACCTTTCGTCGCCATTAATACTGAAGAATGAAACACAGAGTTCGGGTCGGGCGCGTGTCGAGTCGGACGCTTGTCGGGTCGGGAGCACGGCGGATCTGATCTAATTCCGTGTACTTACTTGTACGGACGACAACACATCACTCGCGGGCGCGGGTCCCGACACGCGCCCGACTTGCGCCCGCTCTCTGTGTGTTTCAAGCCTTAGTCGGAACTGCGTGAGAAATACAATTGTTTTTTTTTTTCACTCAAAATAAATTGTTGCTTTGATGGGTTCTAGATTAGTTCTAGAAAAAGTTCCTCCAGGGAAGCACTGCCACCTTACTTATTTCTGCCGCCAAGCAGTAATGTCAGCATTACCGTGTTCTGGTTTTGAAGGATGTGGGTGCTGGTGAAATTACAGGCACGTGGAAGTTGTCAACTTATGTCTCAGGGTGACGGACGCAGTGGCAGTGCCCCTCAGATCTTTGCAATTTAAAGCTCTGAGTGGCACTGCAACTGTTATGGACAGGCGTGTAGCTTACCATCAGGCGCACGACTTGTTCGTTCCGTCACTTGATGTTATAAAAAAGACTATTATCAAAAATGTAGTTTAAAAAAAGTAGTTATAAAAATGTAGTTCATTCTCAATATGTCCTATGCTTATATAATTGTAACGATTTATTTAATAATATGGTCACAATTTTATTTTATTACTATTATAACGATTAATCACTTTGGTGTGCCCTTACAGGTTGTCCCACGTACATTTTCAAGCCACGGTACTTAATATAATATAACTGTGACAATGCAATAAATGAATAAATAAATAATTAATGTAGGGTAATTAAAAATATGAATTTGCTGGACATGCTAATTAATATATAGATTTTAAGACTTTCTTTTTATTTTCCCGATATTTATTAACCCGTGACCATGGAGCGTGCAACCGTTCCGAAATATCGGGAAAATAAAAAGAAGTTATACCGTGGTAAGAAACCTGTTACTAGTGATAATCATTCATGCTAATTAAGATGAAAGCAGCAATGGTCATCATCTCTTAAAATAAAATTTAGTAGTAGTAGTTTTAGTAATTATGTCCATTATCATTGAATACAAGAATACAAGACACTTTATTAGCTGAAAAATGTAATTAACAATGCAGGTCTTGTAATATATTATATAAGATCGTACATTTCACCAAACTTTGTTTCACTTTAGATATAGCATGTTATGCGTTAAAGTTAAAATAAAACAATAGCATAAACAAACTACAACGATTGGAAATTAACCAGAAAATAAGAAGTCAAAAACATATCATACAATAGTTAAATTTTACATATTATTTTATCAATTAAAAAAACATTAATATTGTAACATTTAGCATTGAGTATAGTCTACAATTTAATTATTTAACAGCATCCAGCAATTTATTAAATAATTCGGCTGCTAATACGAACATTGTTCTACTGTAAAATTCCAAATTAGGGCGTTGTTTGGGCCGTATTTCTTATTTTATTACTTGTGTTTCTAGGACTATGATATTATACTTCTAGGATATCTAGTTTGGACTATATTAAAGTTTCTTAGATTTTGTTTCAGAGGAACACAGGCCTCGTAAATATACATCGATGGCAGGGTTAATATCTTCAGAAATATCAATTAAGGTATATTATTATTAGTCACATAAAAATCACTTGCCGTGACGGGAGTCGGACTTTACGCTACACTTACCTGTCACTATCAAAGTCATCTTCATCGCCCCTTCGTCGTGACGTGGTCGTCCGTAAGGGTGTGGTGGGTGTCGCCGGATACACCTCAGGTCTTCGCCCGCCACTGGAAGTCTGGGTACCCACATTCTGCGCCGGGATACGCCCGTCGTTTCTGTCATGGTATATACATTTTAATATTGGAACCATAAAATCAAATAAAATGCATTTTGTTTAATTTCGATTTTTAAAAATAAAGTATTTCGATGTTAAAAGATGTTAATTTACTTCATGTCTGATTCTTATTTATTTAAGTATAGAAGTTACTATTTTATATTCTCACTTTTCTTATGTGTGTGTATTAATAACAATTACTAGAGACGCCATTCTACGGTCAAATAAACTTAGATAACAAAGTTCAGAGGTGTCACACAAATGTTTATTGCAACACCAACTACAGCTTTGTTAGAATGTTATCAGTTTAAAATAATTACGAAATTTATGTTTGTTTATACCACGTACTACTAAATATTGTTACCTATACCCATAGATAATTGTGCCCTCCTTATTATAACTAAAGTTAAGGAATGACCACCAACAGCGCCAAAACCCACAAACAGTAAGAAACCCTAGATGCATCATAACACCATACGAAGATAACAACTGATGCTAACCAGGGCCCCTACTATAACCTTTCAAAAAATAATCTTATTTCAATGTAAGCTTTTAGTAAGCTTATAATACTCATATTCGTACCATGACAAACCTATCAACCAAGAAGAATGATTTCCCAATATTGTCTATTCCTTACTAAAAATACGAAAGAAATAACGCTGCATATGAACTGCATAATGCCACCACTTTCTTGTTTGAAGTTCCGAATCGTCCTACTGTTGCATAATGTTAAAGTATTTCATATTATTTACATCCAGAGAATTTTAACTGCCAAAAAAAGAAAAGTATGTAATAATGAAATCTATATAAAATTACGTTGTTTTCAATTATTTTTCCGCATTTTCATGAAGAAAAATAAATAAAACAAGCTGAGTCTTAATTGTCACGTTGTGAATTCGGAATTATAGTCTAGTGTCGTTATGGAGCATGTAGATGCCGCTGTCATAATTTTACGAAATAAACACTGCTTATTTTCATTTAACGCATTGACTTACAAATAAATGGACGACGGGTCTAATACAAAAACCACGAAAAAAATGTCCCAAGTCAACCTATTCGAAATTTAAATTGTAATGTCATCGCAGTATCGCGCTGTCAGTCGAACAAATGAAGACTAAAGCGGAGTTTGGCGCTCTGTATACGATTTTAGCGCCTTACAAGTGCGGACACTTTTTAGCGCGGACCCGACGTCCATATAATTGTAAGTCAATGATTTAACGGGAAATTATTTCCTATGTACTATTAAATAAAAAAATAAACAAAATACTGAATAGATACATGTAAGTAATTAAGTTCAACTTAACTTTTAATCATTGCAAATCAATATTTAGACAATAAATTCGAAAATAATATTGTGTCCATTGCATCCGTGTAACTATTACAAGATTGCTAAATTTGACATAAGAACAATATTACTTTCATGTTAAAGTCGCGTCATAGTACGAACTGAGTGAATGAATAGTCACAAAGCTGCCAATAAAACATCATAGTTTTAACATTGTAATAAGCTTACTTTAAGCGCTTTATGGTACGAAAAGTCAATGTAAGGTTAAAGTAATATTGTTTTAAGAGATTGTGGTAGGCCTCCAGAACTCCATAATGGCAACGCTATCTTGGGACACAATAAATAACCATAAGATAATTGGTTTTGCATCAAAATAAAGCACGTTCTGGGACTACATCTTTAGCTTAATGGCATCCTGGCGACAGACGAGCTTCCAGAAAATTCTCGAGGATCTGCGTTACGACACGACCCCACCCTTACCGGCTGGAATAAAGAATCACACACACCGGCGGCAACGTAGCAGTTCACATTCAACAAGTAATCCGAACACATGCTCCGAATCGCTCGAGTTACGGTTTAATTGGTACTATTTTGTAAACTGTAAACTCAACAAATCCGCATACTTCCTCAATCGACGTTCTATGTGACTGAAATAAAGAATACCCCAACTCCCCGAAAATTATGAAGACACGACACTAATCTAACCGACGTTTTTAGTGAAAATGTGTTATTAACAAGTCTAGAAGCAGCAAACGAGATATACAACCCCTATAAGGGGGTTTTTTTTTATTTTATTTAGTTTCAGTTATATTGTCAAACGAAATCAGCATAATTGATAGTTTTGTAATAACAACTTTTTCATAATTATTAATACAAAGATCGAACACTCAGAAAAAATTCCTTCGATCAGGTCGGATTCGAACCGACGTCTTCTTGCATACCGTGGCAGACGCTATACCAACTAAGCAACGGAACGAACCAACAGACGTCACGTTTGTATTTGGTTTTTCAATGACTTTTTAGTCGTAGCGCCATCTATGAGAAATCTATGACAGATTTATCACCCAGTTAGTACCTTTACAGCTACCAGTCCTGGCGAACTTTTTTATTTTAAAAACCAACCTCAAAAGTTCGTGGAATTACATCTATTTGCCAAGTTTTATTGCCGTCAGTTACCGGAAAGTGCGCGAAACCGGATTCATCCCCTAGTTTGCAACCAAATTTAAATTTCAAATTGAAATGGGAACAATATTGAGGTACCCTTTTTCTAACAAAGAAAGAATCATGAAAATCGGTTCACAGATAGTAATCGCATAATACACATCCAAAAAAAAAAATCGAATTCAGAACCTCCTCCTTTTAAGTCGTTAAGTTAAAAAGCAAAAAGACAAAGTGCTCTTAACACTTTTAAAATTCATTTACAGGAGTTCGGGTTTAAAGGTGAAATTACAGGCGCGTGGGACTTATCAACTTATGTCTCAGGGTAACGGGCGCAATGGCAGTGCCCCTCAGATCTTTGTCATTTAAAGCTCTGAGTGGCATTGCAACTGTTTTGGACAAGCGTAGAACGATAGATGATGAATGATCGATTCGGAGCATGTGTTCCGATTACTTGTTGAATGTGAACTGCTACCTTGCCGCCGGTGTGTGTGATTCTTTATTCCAGCCGGTAAGGGTGGGGTCGCGTCGTAACGTAGATCCTCGAGAATTTTCTGGAAGCTCGTCTGTCGCCAGGATGCCATTAAGCTAAGGATGCAGTCCCAGGACGTGCTTTATTTTGATGCAATAACAATTATCTTATGGTTATTTATTATGTCCCAAGTTAGCGTTGCCATTATCGAGTTCTGGAGGCCTACCACAATATCACAATATCGCATAGAACCAGGTGCACCACTTGTTCGTTCCTTCACTTGATATCTTAAAAAAAGCGAGAAAGGTAAATACTAAAACATACTTACATGCTGTATGGATTCGCATTGCTATGATCACTAGGAGTGTTTAAAGTTGGAACATACACTGGTCCATCTCCCGTCGGATTTCCAAATACTGGCTTTGTGTTCGGTCGATCTTCTGGCCTGATGTTTGGTCTTTCCTCTGGTCTGCTCTCTGGTCTGCTCTGGGGTCGGCTCTCGGGTCTGCTCTCGGGTCTGCTCTCAGGTCTGCTCTCGGGTCTGCTCTCGGGTCTGCTCTCGGGTCTGCTTTCGGGTCTGCTCTCGGGTCGGGTCTCGGGTCTTTGCGGATATGAGTTGTCTGGTCTTTCAGGCCGCGTGTTTGTCGGTCTCTCCGGGCGTGGGCTCTCCGGTCTCGGTCGTGTCGACTCTGGCCTAGATGTAGGACGGATTGTAGTTTCTGGTCTACTCGGTCTTTGTTCTACTGAGTCCGGTCTGTCGACTACAGGTTGTCGATTGTTAGCGTTGCAGATTTCCCTGCCGTTCAGTCGTATTGCTTGTAATTTAGGTGGTTTGTTTAATGGATTATACTGGACGAAGAATTTGATTGCCTGTGCCGGACCCGGGTGGATTTTCATTTTGGTGTTTTCTATTTTGAAATCTATATTATCTGTTGTTGTTACGTCTCCAACCCAATTCTGGAAATAAATTATTGCACTGAAAAAACGACGTGATGGAAACAATCAAGGTGTTGTTTAACCCTTTTAAGATCCGGCAAACTAGATTCGCATCGCAGCACCACTCCCCGCTTCGTTTCCTGGCCCCTTGTCCGATGCGCACGCGTTCTGACGACGCAACGCTCATGTGGCACGTCGTTCTCTGATTTATGTATATATATTACAACGCAGCGTTATCACTCAGGCGACACAACGCCGCATCGCCATCGTGTGGCATCGTTCTTAGGGTCAATTATACGATTTAATTATTTTAAAGTAAGTAACATTTTATTAACTAGTATTTTATTTTGATCCAACTGGGCATGCAGGTCAATGTTAGATCGCATGAGTTTTCTCATAAATTCATAAATCAATACCTCCAAGGAACACTACTCCAACTAAATTTTTGGACCTGTTCTATGTTTATTTGGTTTTTTGTTTCTATGTCTTTATTTTCACGAAATTCGTTGTTTTTATTCGGATTTTGTTGTTTCTTTATTTTTTTGTTTCAAAAATTTGGGAAGCTAATATTAGTAAATAAATACTTATGGCAGTTTACAAAAATAACACAAAATGACCAAAAATAAAGAAGAAGTAGAAGTGTTCATTGGAGGTATCGAAATAAATTAATAAATGCACTAAAGGTACCAGTGATCGGAACTGAAGGAGTTAATTTATTTAAAATATGAACTTTTCTGAGTATGGACATACCCATTTCGTCATCAATGCTTGTAAATTTCTTTTTTTGCTGTTTATTTCCTAATCATTCCAAAATAAAGGTTGCCTCATGTTTATTTTTTAAATGGCTACAATATTTAAATACGTAAGTACTTATAGAAACTCAACTTCGGAGCAGTAGAGCTCCTTGTGAAAGAGTTCGTCCAGAGAAGTATTGCTGCCTTACCTATTTCTGCCGCCAAGCAGTAATGTGACCATTACTGCGTCCCTGTTTTGAAGGATACTGGTGCAATTACAGACACATGGGACTTGTCAACTTATGTCTCAGGGTGACGGGGCAATAATAATAATAATAACGCACACACTCAACATAGCCCCGCACTAGGGAAACCCTGTGTCGCGGGTGCCATGGACACACACAGACAACCACAAATTACACCCAAACTCACGAGAGAAATAATTGTAGGCCATACAACTATTTCTCCCGGCCCGGGAATCGAACCTGGGACCTCTGCGTGGCAGTCCGGCATGGTGACCGTTCGGCCACGGAGGCAGTTGGCAGTGGCAGTGGCAGTGCAATGGCAGTGCCCTTCAGAACTTTACGATTTAAAGCTCTAAGCGGCACTGCAACTGTTATGGACAGGCCTGTCGCTTACAACCACACACACGACTTGTTCGTCCCGTCACTATTGACTACTACTACTACTACTACACGTATATACAATTAAAAAAAAACTACAATATATTTTTTTATAGAATAATTTCTAGCTAATACTTAATAGCCAATAATATTTTGTCGCTAACGTACTCCTGTCCTACACGCCTGTCCATAACAGTTGCAGTGCCACTCAGAGCCTTAAATCGCATAGATCTGAGGGACACTGCCAGTGCGCCCGTCACCTTGAGACATAAGTTGACAAGTTCCATGTGCCTGTAATTTGACAAGCACCCTTACCCTTCTAAACCGGAACGCAGTAATGCTAACATTACAGCTTGGCGGCAGAAATAGGTAAGGTACTTATAACTAGGGTAAAATACTTACTCTGGATGAACTCAACAAGGAGCTCTATTGCTGGTAAAAAAGAAATGAAGTATTGCCACCTTACGCATTTCTCCTACAAAGCAGTAATGTGAGTTCCGGTCGTGAAGTGTAAGTGTACTAGTGAAATTACAGGCACATTTAACTTATGTTTCAGGGTGACGGGCGCAGTGGCAGTGCCTCTCAGAACTTTGCGATTTAAAGCTCTGAGTGGCACTGCAGCTGTTATTCCCGTCTATGTATCATTAAAAAAACTAGAGCATTATTTTTGAGGCAATAATTTGTAGCAAATACGTAATAGGAAATAATATTTTGTTCACTAAATAATACGCATATTCAAACATAATTAGTTCCGAAAAGTGTCGGGGTTCGTAGAAGGGAATGTCCACGTTATTCTTTAGTTTAGCTAATTTAACTCCCTCAAGTCGAATTACTGAGTAGAACTCACCCCAAGTATGTCAGCCTTGCTGTCCAAAACGATATTCAGCCAAAGTGAGTGCAAAGTACTATCCGTGGACACGTTGACCACTCCGTACCATTTGCCTGACTCCGTGCTAGATGGTTCATACATGAACACGTTCATACATGGTGAAAGAGGTGTGCTCTGTTCTTGAGATGGCACCGCTACGGCCAAGAGTAGAAGGGAGCTTAGGGCTCGAATCTGAAATTAAGAGTTAGAAGTTACTAGTATATGCAACAATGCAATAACACGAATAGTGCTTAGGGATTTTGTGGTTATTCAGTAAACTATTATCACTCGTGACATTGGAGTGTGAAACTGTTGTGACACATCGGGAGAGAATTAGAAAATTATAAATTATAAGCATAGGAAAAAAACACAAAGAAGATTAACATCGCAGGAAAGCTCGATGCGGAGTAATTCGCAAATTCTGCGATGCGTCGTGCGAACTCGTAGACTTCTGCGATGGGACAGTTTTGTGTTTCGACCCTTATTCAACACGAATTTCACCGCGCTTTTTTTTCTATTGGTATTTAATTGGTCTACGCGGCGGCCGCGCGGTTGCATCATTCAGAGGAATTTAAATGTTGTTGCCTAGTAAATGGAATTCACATTCGCCATTAATGTACATGAAGGCGTGGTAACTGGGCGGACGCCGCGCGGCGGACGCGCGAAAGCTTTCGCCTCGTGTAAGCGCCCAGTAACTGCGTAAATTAAACTATGGTCATAAACCTGTAAGTAGTGATGACCGTTTAACACACACGCATGCATCTATAGCAACATTTAATAGCAAATAATAATTTGTCGTCAATGTACCTACTCACATTTCGCATATTCATATCTAATCAATTCGCCCCGTCCCTTGATATTATAAAAAAAGTGAGATGCGTAATAATATACTTAACTATAGTTCAATTAATAATAATAATAATAATAATAATAATAATAATAATAAATACGATAATAATAATAATAATAATAACGTTTATTGCAAAACATGTTGTTACATAATAGTTCTTATAGTAGTTTACAGTATCAAACATGTACCCTGTAAGGGCGTAGCAATGTCAATTTTTTAAATACACATTTTGATTACCATTAATTAAAATATCATTATAATGATAATTAAATATAAACAAATATTTTCTGAAAAGTCAATGAATTAATGGGAAAATGAATGTCAAATTGAAGTCTAAAGTATTTCAAAAAAATTAATCGTCCAATTATTCTAGAATTATATAATAATAGTCATAACATTTGTCATTTTATTAAATTACATAATTATATCATATTTTTTATAAATATAGTTAACATATAAAAATTCCTTTTTTTAACCGACTTCAAAAAAGGAGGAGGTTCTCAATTCGTCTGTATGTTTTTTTTTCTTTTTTTTTTGTATGTATGTTACGCGACAACTCCGGTATTTGTGAACCAATTTTCATGACTCTTTTTTTGTTGAAAAGGGGGTACTTCCATAGTGGTCCCATTTCATTTTGAAGAAAATCATCCACCTCGAAGGGTGGCTGTTCATGCATGAAGATTCATTTTCATAAATAGCGCCTAACATTAATTTAGGAGCAATTACTTTAATGGTTGATTTTGCTATTTCTCTAATTCAAGGCGTTTTTCTCTCAATATACTTTGAGTAGTGAGAACCGATTTTTATTATCTCCAGTGTCAAGTCCTGTATAGTGGCGTATATATATATATAGCAAATAGACGTATTCCACGTACTTTTGAGGTCGGTTTTTTTAGTACTCTGTACTGAGATTATATGACGTTATGAACAATTTTCCTTGTCATTAAAAAAATCTTGCAATGAATAGTAGCATTTTTGAAACAGATGTTTACTAAGTTGATTTTTAAACATATTTACGCTATTTATCAGTTTTAAAAAGTGAGGGAGTATTTATGATGCCCCTTAAGGGCATGGCAATAGGGTTGTTATTTTGTATCTACTTATGACAATATTCTATTGTATTTGATTGTTTACATTTCAAAGTGCACACTAATACGCAAAGACGTAGACGTTTATCGTGCACATGCATTACATTTCTAAATAAATTAAAACTACGTAACACGTACGCAAATTTTAATTGATGTACATTTATTTTTATCATCAATGAATTCGATTATACTATAATAAGTTTTGATTATTATACATTGTTTCAATTGATTTATAAACGCGATGTTGTTTTGTGCATATAATCAAAGTGCTGCCATCTAGCGGGCAGTAGCTCCAAAGAAAGTGACCATATTGCAGCGGTATAAGGTTTTGTCTTGTTTCTTGTAACATAAAAATGTAACGATAAACAGAAAATTGAAAATTTATTAAAATTAAATAAAATAAGACAACGATGACATGAAACATCGTCATAGACCTATGATTAGACTTTTACTATCAATTTTTGCACTCTTTATAGAGAAAAAGATATTTTTCTACGATTTTCGAGGTTTTACACGGGTTAATTTAACACGACCATAACGTATAAAGCGAAAATGGCGGACAGAACGTACTGTACGTACTGTTCGCACACGTGCTACGAAAATTAATCACTTCTAAGGTATTTATTATTCTGTGTTATTATACGGCCAATTACGCGTGCAAGTTATGTTTTCCATGATTCGATCTATCATAATTTATAATAGTTTAGAAGACAACTTCAATTCTGAGAATTGCGATAGATATTGAATTGCGTATTTAGACGATGTGATGTGGTATGCAAGCAGATATCATGTAAATAAGTAGATATATAATATATTACCTAGTGCCCGCGAATTCTTCTGCGTAGAATAAAGCATTGTAAATAACTTAGTGCAGCTATATTAATTTTCATAATTTTATTGATTAACCATACAATGTTTCATCTCCTATTTCACCCCTATTAAGATTCCTTCTTTAGAGTCCTTCTCAAAGTCTATCTTTCTTGAGCATGGAGTAAAATGACAGTTTATTGCACAAAAGTGTTGTCCGCTTGAAAGCATCTAGTGAGTATAGTTAGTTGATTAAATATTCTATAACAATTCAAGACCTAGGATTAACATTGGATACCCATTACGCATCCGTGATCACATAGTTAATATCTGCAAATCTGCTAGCAGGGTGCTGGGTTTCATAATAAGGACAACGTCTCAATAACGTGACCCAAATGTTGCTGAGTTGCTGTACAACGCGTACGTTCGATCCAAACTTGAGTGTAATGCTTTCGTATGGGATCCTCGAGAGGTTAAATACGCACTAATGATCGAAAGAGTACAACGCAAGTTTGCACGGTATCTTTATAAAGGGCGGTACGGCTATTATTACCCATTTCTAGTTTCCTCGCTGTTTGTTACTGGGATGGTTGGTCTGGAATCCCTTGAATTGAGGCGGAAGACTATGTTGCTTACCCATTACTGCCTCCTCTTACGACACAGTGTAGATAATCCTTCCGTTTTAGAAAGACTGGGTCTATTTGTGCTATATCGTTACACTAGCTTACATTAGGACGGCGCACACGCAACCTTTTTGCAATGCCAAACAAAACGCGCACTCTACAGGGTTTCAACGCACCGACTACTAGAGCTGGCCAAGTTGCTGATGTGTTCGCGGAGTTTTTAATTAAATTTTGTGAATTTATGTTATTGCAGAGCTATTTAGAATTCAAATTGTTGTTAATATTATTTTGTGTTTGTTACTTTTATTTCTTATTATTATTACTATCATTTTATAATTAATATTGTAAGCCAATGTCTTGCTGGGCGTGTTGGTTAATCTGTAAGTCCGCAAGAATTTCCTTATAAATAAATATAGTGTAACGACTGAAACTTGGTTACGCGTGTATACGCGTAAATAGCCGAACTTGTTTCATTTCAATCATCATCGGCCCATTATTCGTCCAACTGCTGTGCACAGGTTCCTTTCAATTCCTATTTTTGTAAGTTCATACATATACACTACATTTCTAATTGTCTTTTCAAAATATACAGAAGAGACATATAGTTATAAATATTTTTAAGTATACATATATTCTATTATTATTATTACTAATTAACAAATTGTATTAAGTATATATAAAAATTAATAAAATTTGCAACAAACTGGCATTAAGTATTTTGTCAAAAGAAACAAGTTGACCGTGATATTTCTAAGTAGTTATATCTAAAAGAAGAACCTCGATGTGACGAAGTAATTTAAATTTTATAATATTCGCACCTTACATAACATACAATACACAAAAACATTGAAACTATATTATAAATGCGAAAGAAACCCTGTTACGTTTTCACGCCTAAAATGCAGAACTAATATTGACGAAATATATCATGAACAATATATGATATATCTGATAGTTCTGAGGGTTCTGGTTTTGAAGGGTAAGGGTGCTGGTTAAATTACAGGAACACGAGACTTGTCAACTTATGTCACAGGGTAGCAAGCGCAGTGGCAGTGTCCCTCAGATGGTTAATTTTTTTTGGTAACTAGTAAAAAGGTTTACAGGTCGCGCGTCAGAAGAAGAAGAAGAAGAACTCTGTGTGGCAGTCTGGCAGGATATCACGGAGAGTGTGCGATGGAATTACACGATTTAATTCCGCCTTCCCCTTTCCATCACCGGGGGCCTAGGCGTACGAGGTTCCACGCCTATCTCGTGAATACTCCAAGAATTAGCACATCGTCGACCTCGTCGTCATTTTCCATCATGTGAAAAGGAGGTCAAATGCGCATTTATTTTTTGTTTACAAAAAATCCTGTGTGGAAGAGTTGGGCCAACGAAGTACTGCCTACCTTGCTCACCCGTCAGAACATCGGAGAGTTCGAAGACGGACGACTCGGACTCAATGGAAGAAAGTGGAAAACTCCGGGGGCTCAGTCCGGTCGGGCAGCTCGCCTTCAGGGTTCAACATAGGTCCACATAATTCCGGCCCTCTCCCCGCATGGCCGGGATGTCTTGTAAGCAGATACCGCTATTTCTGCCGCTAAGCGGTATTGCTCACATTACTGCGTTCCGGTTTAGAAGGTTAAGGACGCAGGTGAAATTACAGGCACATGGGACTATTGAAGGTGACGGGCGCAGTGGCCATGCCCCTCATTACTTTATGATTTAACGCTCTGTGTGGCACTGCAAATATTATGGACAAGCAAGTCGGTTACCACCAGGTGCACAGTTTGTTCATCCCGTCATTTGGTGTCATAAAAAAAATATTTCCAAAATCAAATATTACGAAAATGTTTATGAAAGTACACTTTTTATCTTTATCAATCTTAACAGGGTCCCTCTAAAAGGTCTCTTTGATTTTTAGGGGCCGATTCAACCCATTTATACGATAAAATCATTGACTTACAATTATATGGACGTCGGGTCCGCGCTAAAAAGT